TACGTCCCGGACGGGCTCACCTCCCCGTTGCCGTTGAGCACGTAGCGCCCGTCGCCCCCAATCAGCGCTGCAAGGGAAGGGTCAGCCCAGGCTCCCCGGAACCCGCCCCTCCACCTCCCGACCCTGCGTCCCCCTCCTCCGGCCTCAGTCTCCCGGCTTCATCGAGGCGGCCAGGAGGGCGCCTCCCCCTCGGAACCTCTGCGGTACCCAGGTGGTTTCGGCTCCGATGGGCGGCGTAGATGTGCCTGGCGCCCTCGGGGATCAGAGTCACGTTCCAGTATCCTGCGAAGGCTCCTGGGCGGGAAGGAAGGAGGATGCTGCAGGGCGGGTGGCGGGTTTTTTGAGGGATGCTTTGAGGATTAAATGAGATACTGAGGCTAAGGAGATTGGACTTGGTACTGGTACCCCAACAACGGTCCGTAAACGTTTGGAGTTAAGATTAGTATCGCCTAGCCCCGGTTTGGCTCAGCGGATAGAGCGTCGGCCTGCGGACTCAAGGGTCCCAGGTTCGATTCTGGTCAAGAGCATGTACCTTGGTTGCGGGCACATCCCCAGTGGGAGGTGTACAGGAGGCAGCTGATGGATGTTTCTCTCTCATCGATGTTTCTAACTCTCTATCCCTCTCCCCTCCTCTCTGTAAAAATCAATAAAATATATATTTTTAAAAAAGATTAGTATCGCCTAAATGAGGCAACGAAGGGGTTAGAACCACATCTGTTCTGGGAAGGGCGGGACAATCTGGCAGTGACCAATCAGAATGATGAACGAGAGGCAGGCTGCCCAATCAGCACGGGAATTCACTTCCGCGCCTGCGGCTTCGTAAAGGGTCGGCTCGGGGAGAGTGGAGAGTGGAGAGGACGGGGCAAGAGGTCACCGGTGTCACGGAACACGCGCTGCACGAAGAGGCACGAGTCGTTGGTGCCGCCGCAGCGACCACAGTGGTCCTCGCGGGCGCCCGAGCCCATCAAACCGTCACAGCCGGCGTTCTAAGCGGATGGGGAGGACACGTGTCAGAGAGAGCCCCCTGCCCCAGCCCGGGCCTTGGCCTGGGAGAGGGGGGCGGGTCCTGAGAACGAGGAGGCGGGGCCTAGAGACGAGGGAGGGGCCTGAAATAAAAGGGATGGGACCTGGGAATAAAAGGATGGGCCCAGAAGGAGGGATCTGGGTGGGGCCTAAGGAGAGGTGCCGGGGGGCGGGGCCTGTGGAAGAGGGCGGGGTCATGGAACAAAAGGAAGGGGGCTTGGCGGGACTTGAGAGTGAACGCGCGGAGAAGCTAGGAGTGAAGTCTATGGAGGGGCGTGGCCCGGTGGGAGGGGAGGGGCTAGGAGAGGGGGGGACCTAAAACTAAACGAATTCGGTCTGGGATGGGGTGGGAGGTGGGCTGGGCGGGTCCTGGCAGTCCTTACGAGGCAGCGGCCAGCCACGCAGAGTCCCTGGCTACCCCAGCTGCAGGGAGTACCATCCAGGACGCGGCCAAAGCTGTGGTAGAAGGCATGTCCCACGGCCAGGCAGTTGAGGTCGCACTGGTTGGGCGCTGGGGGTGGAAGGACAGAGTGGACCAGGGGTCTTCTATCCCAGTTACAGCCTCCTTCCCGCTAGCCTCCCAGAGAGAGCCACCCCCTTGGGCAGATGAGGCCCAGAGACTCAGCCAAAACTGCACATGCAGGTTGAAGCAGGGCCAGGACTGGGCTTCGGCATTTTGCCTCCAGCTTTCTGACTCTCCCAGGCACATATCCTGGGCCTGCATGCCTGCATTCATTCATTCCACAAACACTCAAATAACCATTTCCAGACGTGATTCTAGGCTCGGCGTTGAGCAGAGCCGTACCCAGCAGGTGCCCAATAAAAAGTGTTTGTCCAGTGCTGACTGGGTCCCACATAGCATGTGTCTTTAGCCCCCGCCCCAGGACTCAGTTCCCCCCTCTGCTTGGCAGCAGGGCGCAATGAGCAGTCCACTCACTCCAGCCCATAGCTCTGACTCCTGGTCCTCCCATCTCCCTCAGCTTGGCTGGCTGACCCAGCCTGGAACAGAGCCCCAGCTGGCCCTGGTGGGCTAATGCTTAGGGCAAAGGGGAAAAAACACGATGAGGTTTACAAATGGAACTTTCTTTATTCTAGGCTTTTCTTACCTGTGTCTGCCCTCTCCATAGCATGTGAAGCTGCCTGTCTCCCTTAAACCTGGAGGCATGCTGCCCCCAGCACACAGTTATATAACTCACTATTTTCAGCTAAATACTGGCAACATTTCCTGCTACCAAGATAAGTTTGAGAACTGTTGGCCTCTGGATTCAGCCCTGGGTAAATCCTCAGTCTGGTGTTCAGCCCTGTGCGGAATAGACCCGGCCTCCCCCTGCCTCTGCTTTACATCTCACACATGCTTTTTCCCCTTCCCTTCACCAACTCCTACATATCCTTCAAAGCCCAAGTGCTAATGCCTACTTCTCCTTACCACCCTCCAAGTCCCCCTTCTTTCTTAGCAGCCCCTTCTCCCTGCCAGCTCTGAGTTGTTTCCTCTGGACCAACAGGAGGGCAGGCTACTCACCACCATAGAAGGGCACCCATTGGTAAGTCTTCTGGGGGCCCAGGACAGGGTGGCCATTGTAGAGGGCACACTGGAGGTCTCGGAAGGGCATGGCTCCTGGGGGACAGTCCTGGGGACAGAGGTGGGTGGGTCAGAGGCTGGGACAGACTCAGGGGAGTCCAGAAAATCTGGCAGGGTGGCAAACATATTTGGGGGCATGAGTGGGGAAGCAGCAGGGCTTCAGGGCAGACTCGAGGGGTCTTGGAGGTGGACAGAACTTACTGGCAACTGGCAGAGGCGGTACTCATGGGTGTCCCCCCAGCACCGCTCTTCCCTGGGGAACCTGTGAGGAGCAGGGTGGCCAGAGTGTGGTCAGGTTTCCCAGTAACCTCCTTCCCAGAGCCCGCCTGCTCACCCCTCACCCTCCCACACCAACCCTACCCACATTCCAGGTGCATTCGTAGGATTAAAAGGCACAGCATGTGTGGGCAGGTCAAGGGTGTGTTCAGGGGCTGGGCCTGGCTGGCAGGAGGGAAGGGTCAGGAACCTCCTCGCACCCACTCAGCCGAGCCCCGGCTTCGTGCTCACTGCTCACCGGACACAGCGCCGACTTCGCACAGAGAGCCCCTGCCCACAGGAGCTGGAACAGCGGCTCCAGGAACCCCATGGTGTCCACTCGCCTGGACCCTACTTGGAGAAAGAGAAGCATGGTCAGCATGGAGGGGAGGTTGGCAACCCCCACGTGGCTATGGGGTCTCCATGCCCAATGCCCCCTGGGCTCATGTCCCCCCCTTACCTGAGCACTGCCTCCCAAACCACAGTTCAGGAGGGTCCATAGCAGGAGCAGGAGGTTCCAGAGGGGGTGGGGTCTGGGGAAGCAGAGGGAGTCTTTGCAGTGGAGGTGTGAGCAGGCCAGGGGTTGAACCCCAGCTCTGCCCTGACTATGTGATGTGGGGCAGTAACTTAACCTCTCTGAGCCTCCCCTTCTTATATCTGAAAAATGTATTCATAATACAGCCCCCCCTCACAGGGAATTTTTGAGGAGTCCTTCAGATCAGGTAAGAAAAATGGGAGGCACAGAGTCGGGAATATAGATGAAGAGTTCAAATTATTATTATTATTACTATTATTGGTTGTTTATTGTCTTATGATGCACACAGTAGGTGCTTAATCAGTGTCTAATGACAGAACAAACCATTCCAGGATAAGTGCACAAGTGTCTCCAGGGTCAGGGCGCCTCACTGCTCTCCCCACCATCATTGCTTCTACCTTCCTGTACGGCCAGGGGCCAGCGACTCCCCTCCCCCAGGTCTCAGTTTCCCCATCTATGCGCTGGGGACCAACTGGGGTCAGTCCAGGACTCTGAGACCTTGCAGAGGGAGCAGCCCGTAGGGGCTGGGTCCCTTCAGGGCTCCATCCGATCCCAAACCCTCGGCAGCAGGTGTCCCCATATTGGGGAGGGGCCAGCCAGCACCTCATGGCCGCAGGAGCAGAGGGTGTGGGGTGGAGGGCCAGGGTGGTCTGGAAAGGGAAAAGGGCCCCTGATGAGGATGATGCAGAAAACAGGGAGACAGCTGGGTGGGGGGACTGGGCTGGCAACTTTGCCTACCCAGGCCTCAGTTTTCCCGTCTGTCAGGAGAAATATAAAGCCACTTGCCATCCACACCCTGCGTGTGACCATGACATTGGCAGAGAAAGGAAGAGGGAAGTGGCCACCTGGTGAGTCCTTCCTTGGAGCAGAGCCAGGGAGCCCAGCAGTCAGCAGTACCCAAAGCACACGCAGGACAAACTGGAATCCTCCAGCCCCCGAGCTCCTGGGCACTGGGTGGGGGAAGGCCGGACCTCATTGGATCTATGGCCCCTCTTGAGCCTCAGTTTCCCTGTATCGCAGGCCCTCCTGGCTCTGGCATTTGGGGCACGAAGGGTCTGGTGCTGAGTGGCTCCAGGTGCCGAAAGCCTGGGAGACCACCTGGTGGGCCCCCTCTCCGACCAGAGCATGCCTGCCCGTTGCATCTCCGCCCCTTTCTGAACCCAGGGCCCGGGCTGGCCCAGGAAGCAGGAAGTTGGGAGGGGAGAGCAAAGATAGGGGAGGGGGTTGGTCTTCTGAACCCCTTCCTGACTCAGCACTGAGGTGGGGATCTAGGCGATGGAAAATAAGGGGCTAAAAGGACCACCCTCCACTCCCCAGAGCCCCCTCCCCAAGAGCAGGACGCTTACACCCAGTTTGGGCTGAACTCCTGACTGAGGGTGTGATCTCAGGGCAAGCCACGCCTCTGGGCCTCAGTTTCCCCAGGAAGAAGTGGGGATGAGCTTTCCCTCACCCGGCTGATTGCTGCCTCACCGTACCCCCGCCCCCCGCCCCTCCACGAGACCCGGGAGGCACGGACCCGGATTGGGGCGGGGGGGATAGGAAGAGGGGCTTACCGGCGACGTAGAGCGCTGGCGGTGCGTCCCGGCTCTCCCGACCGCTCCAGGATGAGCGGAAGCGGCGG